CCATGGGCGGGGGTCGGGGGGGGGGGGGGTCGGCGAGTGATGCAAGAGCCAGACAGCCTTCCGTGGGGAGCAGTTAACACCTCATAGCCACAGCCGCACCCCCTCCCTCCCCGAGATGGCCCTTTGCACGTCCAAGAGCCCTAATGAGAAAACGGGTGATTATCACGCCGTGAATTTAAGCGTGTGTACCATTATGAATCCTGACAACGGTAACAAGGACGCAGAGTTAAACATTCCGAGAGTGCGGAAGAGTGGAGGGAAGATTTATGACCCATTAAAATGACTAATTTATTCACGGAGGATTAATTGAAACCTGATTCACTAATTATTTATTGTGGTCGTTCATCAAAGGCTTGCTTGAAATGAGCAATTTGGTGTTTTAAAATTTTCATCATGACCACTCAAATCTTTTTTTTTTTTTTTTTTTATTGTAGTGGCAACAACATGTCAAGTTAATATAAAGTGAAAGAACGAGTCGAACACTGAATTGAATAGTAATATTGACACAAGTAATAAAACTAATAACTAATAATAAATCACTAGAAATCGAACGTGAGAAAGAAAATTGTCAAGATAAAATGGTAAATTTATACTTTTGCTTAGTTAACATACTTTTGACTAAAACGTCATAATGATTGGACTAAAAGGAAGCTTAATACAAGGAAATCTCTTCAAACCATTAATATGAGAAAAAGATTATCATGATGTGTCATTAAAAAAAAAGTCTTAATTCTCTTGAGTGATGTGAAATAGACATAATTATACAATGTCCTACAATATGGGCTAAAATAAAGCATTGCTTATATCTTTCATTTTGGATGTGTCAAAATGTGGTAGTTTTGACAAAAATAAAGCATCACATTGATCGTCAAGTAGTTGAGACGATTTGCAAATCAGAATGTTGCTCTCGCATCAACACACTCCCGACATGCTTATGAAGTGCCGTGAGGGTTGCATAAAAAATGACTTCACACCTTCGACCGCGCCGCCTTGCGAAGAGGACGCAAGTGATACATGGCTGATCTGTTTCTAATATGAATGTCCCAGAATGCATTTCAATCAGGCCACGCCGACGCATTACCGCATATTGCATTCCCGTCTCGGGGGCGGAATGAAGAGATAATTATGCAGACGGAGGTGTAATGGCGAGGCCTAGCCGAGGCCCGTGATGGATTTGATTAAGGTTGTCAGTGACAACACGCGCTAATGACCGTCTTGATTAGTTGGACGGCGTGAATGCCGCCGACATTAATCTCAGGCATAAACAATAAACTGAAGCCACGTTGTCCGCTGCTGTCGGCAGCTTGTGTGGATGCCGAAGGTTGCTTCTGCGCGGCACCTTCTCCGCAAGCCTGCAAGAATTTCCGCCATCCCATCTGGTAGAAGGCTTTGTGTTCAAGTTTTGGGTGAACAGAAAAGAACTTTTTTTGACAATGAGCAAGTATTACAATCAAACTCTGAGTGGACCGTGCTTGGAAAGCCTCTAGAAACCAGCCATAAGACGATGTTCTGCTCCAAATTAGGTCCGTTTTTGATTTAATACCCTTCATACTTGGACATAGGCCTCAACCATTTTGCTCCTTTTATGCACCTTGGAGTAGAGGCGGTCAGTGTGCGTATTGGGCTGTGTCAAGCAACACGGGATTTCTCCCGCTGAGCTCAGGGTGTCTATGCGTCAATAAAAATCACTTTTTAATGTTATAATTTCAAGATTTCACCATCCATGGCGTCCTATCTCTTTATTATCCTCTCAATTCGATGCAAAAGCAATTCTAGTTGAGTTAATATTTGACCAGCTATTGATGAGCTAAAGTGTCACGCTAACCCAGCTAGCTTAGCTTCACAGGTCACGCAGCTAGCTCACCTGCATCTGACAGAAAAAAGTAAACATTATCGATGTTGTGTCTCTTATCTTTCAGTCCAAACATCGCATGTCGCTATGGTCTTTTTCCCCCGGATTCATTAAAGCGATAATCCTCCAATGCAAATATTCCAAACTTTAGTGACGTTCGCTCAACAAGTCGGCCTCAGCGCTTTGCTGTGGCCGGAGCATATTGGTGGTGGTCTTGCATGCACAACACAAAAAATAAAATTTCTTGAAAAAAAAAGGTCACACTATGTTTGAAAAAAAAGAAATCAAATGGAATGACTTGTCACAGAAAACCGGAGCCTTTCAAAAACTTCTTTGCTTTTGCCTCAATGCGGTCGTGGTGTACATCCCTTACGGTTGTGCCAACGTATGAGCACAACTGTCGTTGTTCGAGACGTCTGAAGTTGAAACGGAGCTTAACTCACCGCTAAACTAAAACAACCAATGACATTCATGCCTGCATATTGATCAGATGCCGCATGCCAAAATGCAAAACAGCATTTAATACACACACACACACACACACACACACACGCTTACAAGCGCGTGCATCCCCTCCGTCCACCGCTCCATTAGGTCTGAATTGTAGCCGTGACGTGTGGGACCCCAGGGAGGTGTTATTGTCACAACTGATTTACTCGCCACCATCTGACACGGGTCGTGAGGCCTTGGGTATGATGTGTGTGTGTGTGTGTGTGTGTGTGTGTGTGTGTGTGTGTGTGTGTGTGAGAGAGAGACACACACACAACAGGCCTAGAGTCCTTCACAGAAAGCACCATTAAAGATTGTTAACTGCATCCTCATATCAAGAGGATTGGTCGCCGGGAGAAAATTAATTTCTGCTTCATAATCATTCAATTTATAGTCACACGATTCTTAATTATACCTCAAGAATGCACATTCGAAATTCTGTTTAGTCCTAACGAAACCCAACAACAAAAGATCACTGAAATTGAAATGGATTTGTCAAGTTTAATTTATCCATCATTTTCAAAAGTTCTGATTAAGGTCGCGAGGAGCGAGTGAGTTCGGGTCTATCGCAGCTGACCACGCATCATGGGGACAACACTCAACGCTAACTCCGCCCAGTGAGATTTGAACACAAAACCTGTGTCGGATTTTCACTTTCCCACCTGCACAACACCTGTTGCGACTTCCTGCCATTTTGTGTCGCAAGTCATCCGACAAATTGCAAAACCGACGTAATCTAATTTTTCACTCGCGAAAGTGTCGGGATTTGCAACTCAATCTAAAAGAGTGGATTGGAATAATCCCCCATTATTTGAGCCGGGGTTCAGCTCTTGGCCACCAAAATCTCACACCTGCTAAGACGTTAAAGGTGGTGGTGGGGGCGGGTCAACGTTTGTCCAACTGGATTTCCGAAAGCCATACTGAATAAATTCTTGTTTGGATGATTCCGTGAAACCCTTGAGTGAGTCAAACGGAACTTTCATGACAACTGTCGTTCCCAGACTCCTTCAGGGTCAGGTTTCGCACCCGCCGCTTCAGCCGCGACAGTGTTCACCTGCTGCTTGGCCAAAGAGATTCGAACCAATATCCTGCCTGTCCCACCTATTGTCCCGGCAACCTGAGAGGGGAAGCAGGCGGCCATTAGCGGCCGAGGAACGGCAGCTGGCCACCCAGAGCTTTATTTGTTTTATTCATGCGCTTCAAAATGTCCCACGTCGACATTATGGTGCTGTCATTTAACATGAGCACACTTTTTTTTTGTTTTGTTTGTGTTGATGCTAAATATGAGCAAAACTGACAAAGGAAACATGGTCACCCTTTAGCACACTTGAGACAGAACAAAGAGCGACAGATACGATTTCGATAAGAATATGGGGGTCCCTTGCTTTTGGGTGTCGTCGTTCTCATGCAACTGCTCGCTCCTTGCCTCTACGGTTGAGTAAATAAAAGTCCTATAAAATCCGGGAACTGAATGACTGCAGTTACCTTATCCACCCCTAAAAGATGGCGCGCGCTTCCACGTCATTTCAAAGCTTGGCAACCGGCAATGCAGGAGGTTATCTGATCTCCATATTTCAAAAGGGCTCATTAACAATTAAACAGGTCAGGTTGGTGCGGAAACGCTCCGCTCATTATTTATGGTAACGAGGGGCAACTACGACACACAGCGTATAGCCGATATATATATATTTAAAAAAAAAAAAAAAAAAGCTAATGAATCGAATATCACTTGTATCTTCAAGCAAGTATGTGAGCGGCATAGCCACACACACACACACACACACACACACCTACCTTCCAGTTTTAATCCACTTAATTGAACCTGACTTTGAATGTCTAAACAAATGGGAGGAATTCACAGGGGGTATCTGATCCCTCCCAGCCTAATGGATTGCAGATTCCTTTCCCGTAAGGGCAGTTGAGCGCAAACAAGGCCAAGTCATCTCCCAATTGATGAGCGCACTCGTCGTCTTTATCACATTTCCCCTTTTAAAGGGGCTCTTCCAAGCACCCGATGCAGTGCCGGTTGGGATAGACGGAGACTAGTTTGGGGGAGTTGATCTCAAGTGTTGTTCTTTTTGTATATATATATATATATATATATATATATATACACTGTATGTATTGTGTAACCACACACAATTTCAAGGCACTTCAAATCAAACACTGTCCTCCTGTGTTCCACAAAAAAAAAACAAAACTCCTTATGCATTAATCCGATTCAATCAAAGGAAGTCAATGAAGTGACAAATGTATTCATTTATTAAAGCCCCGCATCATTCCTCAGGAATCGTCGTCATCATCATCAACACGGTCATCACCATAAAGGAATAAATTAGACATAAAACATTTTCCCACATAAACAAACATATACATCACAGCCCCCCGGGTTGCTGCAGCGAGCACCTCTTGGGTTTGTTTTTTTTTCTTTTGTTTTTTAAGTAGAACAAGACACACAAATGCATAGATGTAACTGGAACCTTAGGAACCGTCGTTATGATGACATCTAGCCATAGGTTTGAAGAATGTACAAAGTCCTCAGTCACTGGAAATTTCTTTTATGGTCCTCGTATAAAAATAAAGTCTCCACAATGATAAAACATATTATATATAT